AGGGATAATTTCTTTCATTTTTCTGCTCCTTTTCTCTTATTTTGGAACTCTCATTGTACAGATGTTGGTGTTCCACATTTTCCAAGGGTTTGTTCATTTTTATTCATTTTTTTCCTCTCTGTTTTCAGTTTCAATAATTTCTATCAATCTATTTTCAGGTTGCTGATTCTTCTGCCAACAATTATTTTTCTTCTGAAAATAATTGTTGAGTAACTTCAGTATTATTTTTAATTTATGCTTTTCATTTCCAGAATTTCCATTTGTTTGTTTTTTATATAAAACTTTCTGTATTAATATTCTCTATTTGATAAGACATGATAATTATAACTTCTTTAACTTCTTACATATTTTCTCCTTTAATTTTTTGTACATAATTATAAGGGCTATTTTTAAGTCTTTGTTTRAGCCAACATCTGGGCTTTTCATGGGCAGTTTTGATCATTTCCTGTGCCTTTGTATGACTCTTGTCATTGTTGAAATCTGGACTTTTAAGTACTATATTGTGGCTTCTCTGAGTAATGGTTCTCTTCTCCCTCATTGAGGCTACTCTTACTGTTTGCTTGAGTGACTTGGCTAATTGTTTTATGAGGTCTGGGGTCCTGCAGTGTGCTTTCACTCCTCAGAGGGCTTAGGCTTGGCTGTCACTCTGGAATTACTAGGTTTTTTTTAGAGCTTTCTTGGATGGCTTCCTTTTCTGATCTCCCTGTTAAACTGTCTGACTCTGGGTACTCCCAGTTCATAGGCCCCACTAGTTGCTGACTGATTGCCATAYTGCTGTGACAATCATAAACCACTTCACAGCCTGCTCCAACCAACTTAAGTAGGGGTAGTTGTTGGGTTTTTTTTTTTTTTTTTTGGTTTTTGAACCCAGGTGTGCTTAACCACTGAGTCATACCCCCAGCCCCTTTAATTTTTTTTTCTTTTTTTTAGTCAGGTTCTCACTAAGTTGCTTAAGGCCTCGCTAAGTTGCTGAGGCTGGCTTTGAACTCGTGATCCTCTGGTCTGTGCCTCCCGAGCCCAGCAAGTGGGGGTAGTGTTTGATGACAAGCTTTGAGGTTTGCTCTGACTCTAGCAGAGCCTCTCTTAGCTCTTTTCCTGGTTTTAATAGAGCATTTGGCCTATAATTTAGCTTAACATTCTTATAATGCTGTCAGTCTCCTCTTGATTATTTACCATCAACATCTCCACTGTTTTGGGAGAATACTTAGTCTTGAGWTTCATGACATTCTCTTTCAAATAACAACCTTTTGGGATGGAAGATCTTTGGAGATCTTAGTACTCTCTTTAGTAGACAACAATTAATTTTTAATTCAGCATGATAAAAAATGTATAGGCCTATTCATTTTATCTTTGTTTTCAGTGTGAATTTTGACAATTCAGGTCTTCCAAGACTTTGATCCATTTCCTCCTCTGGTTTTCCCATTTGTGGGCACAGAGTTTTTTGTGTTATTCCTTTGTTGGCCTCTTGGTGTTCATGGGGTCAGTGGTGATTACTTCTTTTCATTCCTGATATTAATTTACACCTTCTCCTTTTTCCATGCTGACCTGACTGAACTTTATTAAACTTTTCAAAGCATGAGTTTTGGGTTCTATTTATTTTCTCAATTTTTTTTTTCTGGTTTTCCATTTTGTTGATTTCTGCTATAATTCAYGTTACACTTTTTCTTCCACTTGCTAATTTAGTCCTATTTAGTTGCTTTTCTTTATCTAGTTCTCTAACACGGAATCTGAGATTGTTGATTTACAGTGTTATTTCCTTATTCCACATTGTATTCAATGCTACACGTTGCCCAGTAATTACTGCTTTTGCTACACTCCATAAATTTTGAAGTTGTATTTTCCTTTCATTTAGTTTGAAATCATTTTCTAGTTTCACCTGCATCTAGAAGTGTGTGGTTTAATTTCCAAATAGTTGAATTTCCCAGCTACCATCTGTAGGGCATGATGTAACATGTGGGACATTTTGCTTCAGAAAAGAGGAAACTAACTTGCTAACTTGCTACCTGCTTCCCAGTCCTGGGGCCACATGTGGCTAAGATAGCGCTTGGTGATCAGCCAGGAGACGGTGCTGTGGGTGGTGATGAAAAATCAGATGACCTCTAGGATAGGCTCAGAACCCTTCCGCCCCCGTGGACAGCTTGTGTCTCCCATTATGGCCTGTAGGATGGGTGTACACATGGACTCTCCCCACTCTGSTGACCTTTATCCTGATTGGCTCTGGTACATTATATTAGCTGTGTATGTTTTCTGATTAAACGAGATCCTGCTTTGACTGGTCTCCCTGGCTCGTCTGATTGTCCTCCGGCAAGGGAAGGCTGGGTTCGGGTGGCCAGTCAACCTTTGCCTTTCTTGGCTCTTCCTGGTTGGGGCGTGCTTTCCCCATCTCTCCAGCAGGTCAGGAGGAAACAGGGGGGCTAAGAACCCCGGACAACCATCCTGCTGTGGATTTCTGGGTTAATTCTGTTGTGATCCYAGAGCAGGCTCTGTATGACTCCCATTGTCCTTTCGAATTTGTTAGGTTGTCTATGGGGCAGAATGAGGTCCWTCTTGGTGAATGTCCCATGTGAGCTCCAGAAGAGTATGCATTTTACTGTTATTGGATGCAGTATTCCACAAACATCACTGGTGTTCACTTGACTGGTAGTGTTGTTTAGTTTAACCACATCCTCATTTTCTCTCTGCTAGATCTTTTTATTACTAACAGAAAGAAATTAAAGCTTTTAATTGTAATAATTGATGTCATAATTTACCTTGAGATTCTATCATTTTTGGCCTTATCATTTTGATGCTGTTTTTAGGTTCACACACAGTCTTGATGATGCCACATATTACTTTTTTAAAAAACTTATTTACTGCATATGTTCTCCCGTGAGAGGTGAGGACGATGGAGTGGAAAGGATATACTTGCCTTGCTTAGGCCCATGCTGGCTCTCATTTATGTCCACTGGTGGTTATTCACCTGGGGATTATTTTTGTTTTCAGAACTTTTTCTAACATTCCTTGCAAAATGATTCTGCTGGTAACYCGTTGACTTAGTTCTGTTCATGTTACAATGCCTTTATTTTTCCTTCTTTGGATGCTATTTTTCTCAGTACCTGGTGTTTTCTAAGGGAAACTCCTTTTGCTTTCTCTCAGCAATTTAAAGATATCATTTTATTATCTTGGTGTCTATTGCTTAATATGAATATCATATCTTTTAATGTYGCTTCATTCAATAATAAGATGTTTTTCTCCCTTCCCCATTGGGTCCTTTTAAGATCCGTATTAATTTCGAATGCTGTGGAATGAGTTATCACAAGCTTTGTGGCTTAAAACAGCACACATGCTATTTTGGATTCTGTGGGCTGTGCTCAGGCAACCATGGGGATGAGTTCAGTACTTTGGGACTTCCCTGGCCTTGAATCTGGGCGACAGCTTTCTGAGGCTTGGTCATCCAGATGCATTAGGCCATTTCCAGATCTCCTTCCCTGTGCCATAGAAGGGAGGCGCCTTGACTGGGAGCCACTCAGGATTTAAGCTGCTCAACTTCTTGSCCTGAGAGTCTGTCTCTTGGTTCCAACTGGCAACTGGGAACTCCTCCCCTACTGCGCCTCCTTTGCCCATCACGTCCCCAGCCAGTTCTCTGGTGATACGCTGCAGAAAACTCCTTGCTGTAAAAGGCTTGTGTGATGAGTTAGGCCCACCCACACAGTTCCCCTGTCTTGGGGTCACCTAACAGGGAAACTTAATTGTGTCTGCCAAGCTTCATCACAGCAGCACTGAGCTTGGTGCTCAACTGAACGGACAGGGCAGGTGTGTCTGGGTGGTCTAGATGCCTGGGTGGGAAAAAAGAYGGGGCCAGCAAAGTTCATGTGAGTCTCACCTGGGTCAGGGAAGACTGGGCAGGAACTGTGCGCAAAACTCGGCCAATATTTCAAAAGTGGGTTGGATTTTCCATCACGCACGTGTGTGCTCATTCACACTCAGCTTCCTCTCAGGCTCTGCGAGTCCTCCTGCCACTTTCTGTCCAGGCAGCCCTTTTCCTCTGCTGTTTCAGGGGTGACCTCTCTCCCTTTCAGTCTGGTGTTGAGGTAGGTGCTAAAGAAGTGTTGCAAGGAGAAATCATGGCCACAGGGTGACCTGGAGTGATGAAGGGCAACCACAACAGCTTCTGCTGAAAATGGAGTCCAGAGACCCAGSAGGAGCTTCAAGGGAAGACGCCGGTCCACTAAGAAATGTGAAGAAATGGTCTTAGGAGGATGAAAATTAGACCGACAGTCATAGGAAACTCCACAAAAAGTGGACAAATGCCTGGTTTTACCCATGTTTATATGCTTTTTGCCTAATACTGAACTTAGGCTATTCAAGGACATAATAAATGTTTAATGAATAAGTATATACTTCCCACATGATGATATAGCTATGTGGATCAAAAAACTTTTTGAGTTTAACATAAAACTGCATAAATGTTTCTTGGCTGGRTAAATTAATTTTGGAATCTGGACAAGAGCAGCAGCTTGGACTCACAGTGCCCAATGCTCAGCCTATCCCAGTGGAATTTAATTCTCTTAATGCTCTGTGCATTAGGCATATGTATGGCTTGAGGTTGATTAGGTATGATCTAACTGGTTATGCTTCTTTTTTTTTTTAACTCTTGTCATTAATCTTCACAAAAGAATCATCAGAAAAATGGGTTTCATGTCTCCTCTTGTGCTCTGCTGAGGATTCGGGTGCAGTCTGCTAATGTCTCAGGACAGGGAAGAGCTCCTGCTGGCTGCGGGTGTTTGGAATGGCTGGCCGTGGATGCGCACCTGAGAGGACCTATCTGAATTCAGGGTCAAGTGCAGCTGCAGAAGCAGTTGCCACACTCACTGCTGATCTTGGAACCAGAGCTCAGCCTGTTGCTGCAATGTCCCATCTACCTTTGAGATGATAGAGTTTTCCATCTACCTTTGTCCTATTATTTAGTAMCCAGTATATATGGGGTGACATGACATTGTCACTCTACAGAAGTGGGTGCCATGGGGTGCAAGGCTGTGAGCTTCGGACTGTCTTGTCTTCTCTTTGCTTATTACATCTACACACCCATCCCCCAAAACATTGAGGAACGCTGGAAAGTCGGGATCATAGATGCTATCGTGAAAATTATCTCACTCACGGTAATGCTTTTCCTGGGGAATTGGGATGCCTCATCTTAAGTCCATATGAACTTTCTTTAAGGTTGCAATTTAAAGAGAGACTGGGTTTCTTTTAGAATAAATTGACCAAATAATATTAATATGTTCAATTTAATTAATCATTAATATGTTTGCTTGAATCCATAGGAAGCAGAGGGAGATAGAATTTTTGTTAAGAATCTGTATCTGAAGATCATGACCATATATTGTGATAAGAATTATAGAAATGATATTGTCCAAATGGAAAATTTGAGAAACTTAAATAGTTTGGTATATTTGACTTTTTTAAAAAATAATTTTTAGTTATCAATGGACTTTTACTTTTGTTTATTTATATGTGGTGCTGAGACTAGAACCCAGGGTCTCACATAGGCTAGGCAAGCACCCCTGAGCCACAACCCCAGCCCTATATTGAACCTTTTTGATGTAACCTATTCTGGCATGTTCTCTTAAAACTTACATGTATATAGCAATTATATACATTTTGATGTGTATGTAGTGCTTTTACTATTTTAATGTTTTTCCCTTTCTAAGTAGTTCCCAAAGTTTCAGGTTTCAGAAAGTCTGTACATTCTGTGCATTACTGAGGACCTAAAAAAGCTTATTTATGTGGGCTACGTTCATCAGTGTTAACTGCATTGGAAATTAACCTCATTAGAACGATTTCACTTAATGGTAAACCCATCATAGGTTAACCCAAATGATATAGTTTCATTAAAATGTGCAACAGGAAAGACTTTATGACAGTGACATTTTTTCAGATTCCTCTGACGTGTCTCTTCCTGGAAGCTGGGTTCTCCTGCCTGCTTCAGCAGCTAGTCTGTTGTGAGAGCACCCCCCTCACCCCCCCACCCCGTGCTTATGAGCAAATTAGATTTTCCTAAGAGGCGGAAGAGTGATGGTATCCTATGTGCTTTCTGAACGTGTCTGAGACCCCCAAGGGTTGGGAGACCACACTTTGAGATCTGCCCTGGCTCTTACCTAGCATCAGTACTGCGTTGCTACATTTCAGGCCTCCTGTGTGAAAGTGTCAGGATTTGGATTCCAACCTAACACACTAGAACACCAGGCTCCCCTGCCAGGATACGCTGCCGTCGGGGGGCATGAGAATGATAGTGAGTAGGACGCTTAGGGAGAGGACAGTGATGGAGAACAAATGACCAGAGAGGAGAGAGCAGAGTGGCAAAGAAGGACAGGGATGTCCCCTGTGCTGCCAGAAGAGACCACAAGCTCTTGTGCTCTGTTCCTGACGTGCCTCCTACTGAAAGTTCAAAGCCACTGAGCCRTCCTGGACATGATGTGCTCTTTCCTATTAATTTCAAGGGTCCCACTCTGTTCACTGGACACTAGGAGAACAGGCAGATGAGCAATGTCACCCTACAGAGAAGCTGCWCGTGCATCTTTAGACTGTGAAGTTGTGATAGTAGGAGCAAATGTGACTCCATTTTGTTTTATGACTTCATCCTGTAAAACAACCATGCCAAGTAGAAGAGTCATGACTGGGGCAAGATGTTCTTTTCCTTTTGCTATAGAAATCTTTAAGAACACRGAACTACCTAATGGGGTATTGTTTCTGTAACTAGG